GAGAGAGAGAGAGAGAGAGAGAGAGAGAGAGAGAGAGAGAGAGAGAGCAGGGGGGGGGCACTGTCTCGGTCGCGCTCGCCTGTTGCGGCTGTGCTTGTCTCCGGAGGCGCCCGCGGGGCCGCAGGGTAGGCAACCCATCCTCCAAGCGTGCTGTACGTACGCAGCCTGGACGCGGCCGCCAGCCGCTGCCAAAACGCGGCACTGTACACACGCAAGTTACGTAAGTCGCCCGCGCGCGCGGAGACTCGCCGGCCGGGCGCCTCCTTGGTGCTGTGCGCATCAGCGTTAGATGTATCGAAGAATTCTCTACCCGGAAGGAGTATACAGCCACAACCGCCCTAACCCGCGCCCTTTGGACGCTCATCGCGACAGGAGGACCTCTGATGTGGACAGGCTGAACGAACGGGCAATGAGATAGTGCGTCCCGGTCGTTAAACTGTTGCAATAAGCCGTTACGAAAGATACGAACGGCGATGATGTCAAGAAGAAACCAACAACGATAACAACAAAGTATCGGGCGAGAGAGGGTGACTGCTCGCTTCTGACAGCTCGTTTCTGCAGAGAGTGTACTCACCTAGGCAAATGTTATCTGTCTAGCTTGGCAGAGGCAGCCACGCCTAGCATCTTCCGCGCTGCGGAGGCGGCGACGGCCAGCTTCGCGCGCGCCAGGGTCTCCCGGGACTCGCTGCGCCTGGCGGGATCCACTTTCACGGCGAGGACGGCGACGACGGCGGCCACCAGGACGATTCGAGGACGACGACGACGACTGGCGTCGCTGGGCGCTGCGTATATAGTAACAAAGGGCCTCAGTCCAGGACGCCGTGTGCAAGGGCGGGGGGGGGGCGCTTTCCGGAAACCAAACCCGGTATAGACAGACGAAGACAAAAGCGGGGGGAGGATCTAAAACTTTCAGCACCTTGTTTGCTCTTGTTTTCTTTAGGAGGAGATTTCCAGTCGGCGGGCGAGAGGTAGAGAGACAACTCTCTGCAGCGGAGTTTGCGACCGCCGCACGAGAGACAGACACACGCTGCGGCGGCTTCGGCCAGGTCCGGGAGCCCACTGGTGGAGCCGCGCCGAGCCGCGACCAGCCTCGCGATCCCCCCCCCCCTCCTCCTTCTCCTCTTTAAGTTATTCCTCGGCGCAGATCATCGACCTGGCCAATCACATTCGGCTATATCACTTGGATCGGCGGAGCCATGTCCAAAACACACACACACCGCACCGCGGGCTGAGCCTGTGCCGCCAGCCTGTGCACGTGTGGCTCGCGGTTCGCCCCCCGCGCCCCCCGCCCCCGCCCTGCCCCCCGCTCGGCTCCGCGGTTTCAGCTTGTCCTCCCCCGGGAGCGGACTCCCCTTTCGTTTCTCCAAGAGAGAAGGGCACACCTCTCTCTCGCTCGCGGTGCCTCGACGATCATTTCCCTAATGGCATGGGGATGAGGAAAAGCGCCAGGAACTCGCCAATAAAAAGCGACGTAAGTGCGGGAAAAACGGGCCACCGAGTCCGCCCGTGTCAGAAACATCACACACCTAAGGTTCGAGGCCCTGGAAAATTTGGGGAAAATTTCAGGAAAATTGCGGGTAAACGGAAAATATACGGGAAAATTTTTAAAAATACCAGACAGTTTTCCGACGTTTTCCGGAAATTTCCGGAAGTTTTTCGGAAATTTTCCGGAAAATTTTGGAAATTTCAAATCCCTATGCACACACACCCTCGCCGCCCACCGTGCGAGCACGGCCGTGAGCGCGTGCTTGCCCTAGTGCGCGGAGCGCCCGTTCTTAACTAAATACAACAACTGACGTCAACAACGACACAAAACAGTCGCGACCTGGCAAGCGGAAAGCCGCCGACGCCCCTGCGTTGTTTTAGGCGCCGTGTGTGCGGTCGGTGTGGTCGCGCGCGAAACCGCGGCGAATGCGGAGTCAGACACGGGCTCTAGTTTTCGACGTCGCGGATCAACGTCGTCGACGACATGTCCCTTTGTTTGCGGGATCACGTGGCTTTAGTGTGTGGGCGTGACCTTTTGCAAACCGTCCGTGGGGGTAGTAATTAGGAGGCTTGTGGCCGCGAGGACAAGAAGGAAAAGTCGCCTATTTCGACCGACCGAGCTCGACCACCAGAGGACACGACGGTCGGCACCGACCGCGTGCAGGTGTGAGGTGAGGAGAGGAGACAAGCAAGCGAGCTCTTCTCCTCACCTCTCACCTGCACGCTGCACGCGGTCGGTGCCGACCGCGTCCCGATCGAGCTCGGCCGCTCGAATAGGCGATTTTGCGGAGCCCTGGAAGTATATAGAGCGCCGCCCCTGGCCGAGGACGCGCAGAGAGTGATTCCCCGTCTCCGCCGCCGCGACGGCCTGCCTGCCCCTGGCCGAGAGGCACCACCGGCTCCCAGGGCCATTTGTCAAGGTCGAGAGCCTATCGGCACGAGGCAGGCTCCAGGATCCCGGGGGATCGGTCAAATCCAGCCCGTGGGACGGGGACGGCGCACGGGGCCGGCCGGGCGTACCCGGGAGCAGGCGGTGGACTGGACAGCCTCTCCCCCCC